GAAAGGATGTTTCACAAGATAAACCCAGAGATTTCAAATAGGAACCCATAGAGCCAAAAATTTTCTGCTCTGCTGTGGTCTTTCTGATTTCTTTGCAACAGAAACATTTGCTCTATAAATTTTTGATAACTAAAAAACTACTGGAAGCTAAGACCTAGTGTTTTCCAAGGGGTACCTTGAGTCTATTGAAGGGTGTCTTGAGCATAACAAGAGGTGCCTTGAGTCTAAAAAGATTGAGAATCACTGGTGTATAAGTTGTATCTCTGCCTTATGTTCTGCCTGACTTCAGACTAATACAATTAACTACTTCCAGCAACAACACTGCAAGCTAACCTCTGATGGCAAAATCTTTAATCCTGGGATTGCAGGGTTATCTAGTAGGCCTACGTGAGTCGGCAGCAATCTGATCCAGCTTTAGATCCAGCAGCTTTGGATGGCCACAATCCAATCTGGAGCTCCAGACTGGGTTTCTGCCTCGATCCGGCCAAGGTGGCTCCAAAGCTTCGGAGCCGCCTCAGAGATCTGGCCATAGAGTATAATGGGGAATCAATGAAATATCTATACCTTTGTTGTTTCTTGTCTGATTTGGATGAAACCTGCAGAGATGGTAGCCTCTGCTGAGAGCATGAAACCTGCCAAGCTTCAAGAAGATTGGTGCAGGGGTTTGGGGGGAATAGTGCCCCAAATTCTTGAAAGCCAAGCTCATGTCATGGCTGTGTGTTACACCACAGGGAGGTGAAAACTGCAGGGGTGGTGGCCCCTGGTGAGGCCACAAAGCCTGCCAAGTTTCAAGAAGATCGGTGCAGGAGTTTGGGAGAAACTGCACCTCAAGCTGCGGACAAGCAAAACTGGTGCCATGGGTGACCCTGTGCGTGTTAAGGCGCAGCGGGGTGACAGCTGCAGGGATGGTGGCCCCTGCTGCAGCCACGAAGCCTGCCAGCTGTGGAGGAGATCGGTGCAGGGGGGTTCTGGGGCCCTGCACCCTGAGCTGCTGACAGGCAAAACTCGTGCCATGGGTGCTTGTGGGACTGACTGTCCCTGTCTTGGGGCAGTTGGTTGTCTGTTTTGATTCTTTCCTCTCCTTAGCCTGGTTTTGTATGTGCTAATTGATGGCAATTAACTGGCTACCTTAGCTGGGTCCTGTGCCTTGATCTGGTTCCTGAGTGAATCATGATTGGTTGGTAACTGGTAACACAGTAGCTTAGCAGCCAGGCCTGCAGCAGTGTCTCCCAGGCCCCAAGACCCTAAAGCGTCCGAAGCTTCTCCAGATCTGAAGCTCTGTCCAAAGCCTCGCACAGCCTTATTATCTAGAAAATCTGCATTTCTAGGAGGATCCAGTAAATGAGCTGTGCAAATAACTGATTCTCTAGTTTGGTGGTTGAATTGGGCAAAAACCATCTTGCTAGACGTGAAATGAGTAAGTTTTGGTTTTCTTGTTGAAATGAACACCTGAAAATAATTGGTTTAAACTGTTCTATTCAATCTGAATGAAATGAAACACTGATTTTGATTGAATCTAAAATGAAGCGCAGATAATTCATAATCTTTTGTTATGAAACATATCAAACATTTTCTTTCATAAACAATTCAGTGAAATTGACCTGAATTCAAAACTATAGTCAAGACAAACTTTTCTGGCTAAATAATATATTCGACTGAACATTTTTATCCATCTCTATTAATGATGTTGATGTGAGGTATCCTTGTTTTCCTGATATTGGTGGATGTCTCTTTTATACCATTCTAGGATGGTATTGGCAGGAAGATCTCGCAGACTGTTCCTGAAATGAGGCAAGAGATTAGCTGGGTATATGCTCCGGGTTCTCTGTGAAGCTGTGGGGAAAAAACAACCCTCTCCGATGGCCATCACAGGAAAATCTGCACTAAGAAGACCATTACCAAATCACTTCACAAAGTTTCAGTGGTACAATATATACAGAGAATTCAGCATTTCTGATATGATTTGGGCCACATACTATACCTTGTGATTTCTAAATTGAACCCATAAACAACAGCTTGGACTATTCATTAGTCAGATATTCAAAGGCCTGAATGGCATAGAGGTGCCTAACTCCCAGTGAAAATCCATGGGAATTGAGATGCCTAACAGCCATTTCTGCTTTTGAAAATCTTCTTTTGAGTGCCTGAAATTAGGCATTTGTTTAATTTCTTTTCTGGATGCTGTAATAGAATGAATTCTCTTTTCCCTAAAAGTAAATTGGGTTTTGTTTTGGACTGGCATAAATCTAATGATACTAATAGAGCCTCTCTTCATCTGTTTATACCAGAGTATAAAGGCACATTTCTGGCCCCAAGTTATCTGGTGATTTTTTTTTTTTTATCATTTTGCTCCTTTGCATACAGGAAAATTATTTTAACTGAGTCTATTTTACAGATTAAAGATGAAGGGGGTTGTGTATAGCAAGCTGTAATTTCAGAGGTCAAATCCAAAACTTTACAATCATTGTAAGTGAGAAGATTTTTTTGCTTCATTTGCTGTCTATTTTTTTGAACTCGTAAATTTCAAAATAATTTTTGTTACCCTAGTATGTTAATTACAACCCTTGATAATATTTTAAAAAGCATTGTGTTTAATTTTGGCATTCAGACTATCTATCATTCAAAACTGTTACAATAATGAAAAAGCATAATCCTGGCATGTTAGTGGAGTCAAGTGTATGTGCCAATAAAAGCGTGATCTGGTGAATTTTGAGTTTGTTAATTAGTTCTGGATTTATCTGAACTCTGCTTATCAAAGAAGCAGTTTCACAATGGAGTTAATGTTTTACTAAAAGCAGTTTACTAAGCAATCACTTTATGATTAGTATTGCAAGCTTTCTTCAAAATGCAGTTATCACTAAAATGGCTGGTAAATCACACCAGCTAGTGCCCTCACCAGAAACCTGGGAAACTGCATTACTTCAGCTTGGTGCCTTTGATGGATAACACTTCCCACTTGAAACCACTGAGTCACAGGGTTTTAAAAAAATGCATCTTGGGAGGGACATTTGTACATTTGAGAAAGCCAGCAACTAATACCAGCAAATCAAAAAGAATCACTAAGTAGACTCATATCCCCACTGGGTCTTGTCATTATCTCTGTCCCCCTCTCACAGACGTGTGTGACTTGCAGGGACGATGCATTCTAGCACTGGCCCCTTCCCTCCTCCACTGCACCTCATGCAGCATCTTGACCTGGGTAGGTAGAGTCCAAAGGTCAGACAGATCCATCTCCCACCCTCAGGATGATGTTGCCCTAGGAACCCCATTATCCTAACTCAAGTGACCACAGCTCTTATGCTGGCAAGGAGGCCCTTACCAAAGTCCCTGAGTTAAATTGCTGCTCTCTCTAGTGATTTCATAGATTCCATAGACATTAGGGCTGGAAAGGACCTCACGAGATCATCGGGTCCAGCCCCCTACCACAAGGGCAGGAAGTCAGCTGGGGTCAGGTCATCTCAGCAACATAAGCATCCAAGTGTTTCTTAAAGGTATCCAGAGTAGGTGCTTGCTCCACTTCTGCGGGGAGTCTATTCCAGACTCTGAATACTTGGACGGTAAAGAATTTTTTCCTTATGTCCGGTCTAAAATGGTCTTCCAGCAGTTTGTGACCATTAGACCTTGTCTTCCCTTGGGGTGCCCTGGTGAACAGATGTTCTCCCAGCTCCTGAGGCACACCCCTGATGTACTTATAGGCTGCCACCAAGTCACCCCTGGTGGAACTAGTGCATTACAATGGTGTGCTAGGTGCTTGCCATGGGCCATAGACTATGGGCCACCACTGCCATCCGAGAGGAGAGAGGGGAAAAAAAGAGGGGAGGGATGGGGCAAAGAGAAAGTAAAAATAGCACTTGCCATAGAGGAGGGAGGAAAGAGAAAGGGAGGGAGAGAGTAAGATGTGTCTGCCTTAGGGAAAGGGAGAGGGAAAGAGCAGGGAGGGCTTTGGAAGTGATCAGTGTCACTTGTAAATCAAGGGAAATGATTCCCACTCTATTCAGCACTGGTGAGGCATCACCCAGAGTACTGTGGCCAGTTTTGGGCCCCACACTTAAAGAAGACAGATTGGAAAGAGTCCAGCAAAGAGTGACAAAAATGATTAAGGGCCTAGGAAGCAAGATTTATGAGGATACACTGAAAGAGCTAGGGTTATTTAGTCAGGAGAAGAGAAGACTGGGGCAGGGGGATTTGATAACGGTCTTCAAATACTTGAAGGGTGATTACAAACAAGATGGAGATGGGCTTTTCTCTGTCTGTAGGGAACAGGATTAGGAGCAATGGCCTTAAGCTTCAGCAGGAGAAATTTAGGTTAGAGATTCAGAGAAACTTTTTGACTATGAAAGGGGCCAACCATGGGACCAGGCTACCTAGAGAAGCTGTGTAATCTTCATCTTTGCAAGTTTTCAAGGGCAGGTTAGACAGACATTTGGCTGGGACATTTTAGTCAGGAATGATTCTGCCATGATCTTGCAAGGTTCCTTCCGGCCCTACTTTCCGATGATCCTGTAATATAAAGCTGTCAACCTTTCCTTGTAGGTAGGTCCTATCCACTCTTTTAATAGAAAGGGAGAGAGAGAGTATACCAGGTAAGCCTGTGGTGGTGAGCTGAAATAATATCTGCAGCATAAGTAGCAGAACCTCAGGTATGATTCCAGCCCATCCATTATAGCCTAGTCTAGTCCAGGACTAGCAAGATCCTTGGTGATCTTTGCCCTTACAGTGGAGTATCACCATTGATTTCAGCACCAAGCCTAGAAGTGAAACAACACACAGTGTGTTCTCCACTATACACATCACATACTGCACAGCAACAGTATGAATGCTGCTACAGGAAACACAGCATTTCCCTCCCTTCCTTACACTGTTTCCTTCAGGCATTAACTAGATTGATTTGGGACCAAAGTCTGGAATTTGCCCTTTAATTATGGAAAAGAAAAACAGATTCTTTCCACGTGAATTTTAGGGAACAGACGCTCTAGAAGACAAAGCAGTGACAGAGATTTTGGAAGCTGGGGTCTATTTCTGGTGCTGCTACATACTCCCTGTGTGACCCTGGACAAGTCATCTCACCTACCATTATTACTCAATTCCCTACCTGAACCACAGGGACAGTGAGATTTGCTACTCCTCACCCAGCCTGTGTGGTGTACTTACACTGCAGTCTCTCCAGGGTACAGCGTCTCTTGCTATATGCAGTTCTGGTTGAGTCACCTTGGTGTTAACGTAACAGGCTGGACCAACATACCTTTTTTTAGCTGATTTTTCTCTGTACTTAAATCTGAAAATAAAGCTTGTTTTCCTAAGAGATTTAGTGTCATTTTGGCAAGTTTACTCCAGATCTTCCCTCTCACAGGGACCTGCAAGCTGCAGAAGGCTAAGTATTCAGTGTGCTTATTTTGCTTAAAAAATGCCATGGCTGAAGGATCTCCTCAAGCAGAGCAAAGAAGACATGTTGCAATGTGTGTGCATGACCCACTCAGGGGGGACGACTGGGAGACTGGAACAGAACAGCAGATGCCAGTGTCCTAAAGGTCATGTCTTTTTGCCTTTTGTTCTGCAGTATGATGAGTGGTTTGCTGTTGGTTTTCCTCTGAGAAACAAGTATTCTCAGTTGCTGTTTCAGCTCTATCTTGGCAGGGGGAAATCAGTTGGATTGTAACTCTTCACAATTGGCAACAGAGACAAAGCAGTTCACAAGGCAACCAAGCAATTGCTTTAGAGCTCTACAAATCGCATTTCTCTATTTGACTCTTCTATGGAAAGCGATACTCTGGCTGCAGAGATTAGACAGAAAAATCTCCTGTAGCACTGGAAGAAACCATCTGCCACAATACATTTGGGTCAGACATAAAATCCTGACTTAAAAGGATGGGTCCCTTTATCTGCAGCACCGGGATTGGTAGGGCCATGGAAACTGGACTGCCCTTGTTTATAGTATGAGAAGCCAGCACCTGAAAGGACTTAAGTCAGGGTTGTGCCAGGTGGTACAACACATTTTGTTGCTGCTCAGGGAGAGGTTAGATCTGTTTCCCATCCCAAAGCCACCGTGGAGGTAGGTGAAGTCCTGCCAGGCCACATGTACTGGGTTGATGACTTCCCCTGTTAAGTTGTCATAACACACAGGGTGTTGAGGGGCAAGGAGGGGAGTGTTTCAGCTTACTCCAGGCAAGCTTGCCCCAGCGCTCTCAGGGGATGGACTAATGGCTCCTTTCTGTCCCAGCACACGAGAGTGCCCTAGGCGGGGTGTTGCCTGTTCCCGCAGCCCTTCCACCAACTTTTGACAGTAAACTTTTGTTTCGTAAGGCTGGTAGTGGTAATCTTTAATGACTAGTATCCTGACTAGTATATTATGACTGGGGTTGGCAACCTAGGGCTTCCATTAGTGAGTTTTGCTAACTAAGTCTGGGTGAGAACGCACCATCTAGTGACAGAATATTTACCAACTTCTGCCCCTGCCCCACTTCAAGGCTGAGCTGGTTAATTCAGCCTGTTGCTGGTGAAAGATTGCCAACTCAAAATGTAGACTGTTTATTGTTCTATAATACGCTTTTTTGACATGAAAAAATATGACCTGAGGTTTGTGGAAATCTGTGAATCATTGCTTACTGGTTAAGTCAGGCAATATCCCTGTGGGAGAGAGGTCAGAATAGAAGGTGCTGAGCAAAAGTTACTTGCTAGGTTGATTGTAATGAATTGCATGGAACCAGACCTCCAATTCCTGGTCAGGAAGGAGAGGGCTATCTGTCTCCACCTGAGAAGGGTGATGGTAAAAGCCCTGAGATCTGAATGGGTACCTTTGAAGCAGCCATGGTGGGATCACAGGTGTAGCTTACTATGGAAATATGATCATTACAACAGTTTTGATTCAGAGTTGACACTGCCCAAAAGAAAATACTTTGCTTCAAAATCAAAAAATGTCAGCAACATTGAAATTTTCCTGTGAAAAAGTTCCTTGCAGGCCTTGAGCTTCAATGAGGTAAGCACTAGCAACCCAGCAGGCATTGCCCTCAAGGATCCTGTTCCAGGATCAGAGTCTGGCAGACAATACACGAGATCTGACAGAGCAGAATAAATGGAAAGGGCACTGTGAAGGAGTGAGACAAAACTCACAGCATGGAGGGCTGCAGCTGGAGACTGAAAGGGAAGGAAAATACCCATCACACTTCCGGAGCAGCATCTCGCTCAGGACTGGAGGAGGGAGGCTGCCCAGAGGTACTTCTGGCCCCGGAGAGGGGCAGAGGGGGGTCAGTCCCCTGCAGGCTGCAGGGAGAGGGGAGTGGCTGAGCCTCCCAGCAGGCAAGGGCTGCAGACTGTGCCGGAGGAACGTGGCAGGAGTGACCCTGGGCAGAAGGCAGGCAGAAGCCGGTGGATAATCTCCAGAGGGCAGCTGCAGCTGAGGATCCGGAGAGAGGGAGTCCACAAGGCCTGTGATAATCTTCAGAGTGGAGTTTTCAACAGAGGATCTGGAGGAGGGGCCTGAGGGAAACTACAGGCACAGGTAGAGCTGTCCTGCACATGGGGGAGACCCCAAGGAGACTTTGAATATTCACAGGGGTGTAGGGCAGGCTGGCGCATAACAAAGACTGGACTAAGGGATTTTCTTGGTCTTTGTGATTGGGATTTTGAGAACCTGATCCTGGGTAAAAGGGGACACGGACTGAGCCTGACAAAGAGGCTGAGAGCAGCCAGGGTTTTCTTTGGGTTGGGTTTTTTTTTTGCCTTTTCTTTTGATATTTGAGCACAGGCCAAGATCAGCCGTGGAAGGGTGTACCTAATCAAGACCAAAGGTCACCCTAGGGTAGAGGGCCAAATAAGACCACAACAGGCAGCACTGCAATCTGGCTGCAGAAGAATTTTGTGAGTACCATCTGGAGAGGCTAGGCTGGGGGAAAGGGGAGGGTTGGAGCCCAGCAGAAGAAACTGGAAATGAGACCAGGCAGGATCAGCACAGGTAGTGCCTCCTGGGAATATATTTCATCAAAGTTGTGGCAGGAGAGCAAACGTAAGACCAACTTCCATCAGCGAGGCTTGGGGCATGGTAAAGGGGTGGTTGATGCCACGCATAGCTCATATGGCTGGGGTGCGCTGAAACACCCATTACGGAAGCAGAGCCAGTGTACAGGAGGGAAACCATGTCTAAGAGGACAAAAAGGCAGCCTCCCTATTATATATGTAACATCAAAGATGTGGTGGGCGAGAATTGAGGGTGCTTTTAGGCTAACTTGGCATGGTGAGGGGGCGTTAGGGGAGATCACAGCGACCCCTAGGATGCCATCCTGTTACAGATGGGTAACCTCTTTTTTTGATGGGAACATCTCTTCTCACAGCAGCATCCTACCCCTGCTTGGCATCACATGCCAAGCCTTGAACACCCTCTGCTTTTATTGTATTATCTATTATGCTATATGTGATAATGCAGCACACCGTCTGCAGCCCTTCTCAAAATCCTAGTTCTCCCGGGTCAGACAGGGTTAGGGTGGGTGGAAATAAAATGCCACATTCTGATGTGGTCATTGCCCAGAAATAAGAAATCATTAACCCCATGACTTTGACCTCTCAGTCGTTTGCAGAAGGAGATTCATGGAAGGAGAGAACAAGAGGCAGTTAGCTACAGATTTCATTCTGGGCTTCCTAACTAGTGTAATAAAGTTCCTTTACCATCCTTCCCCCAAAGGGACAGACAAGAATGGATGCTGGGACAGCAGGGATCCTGATTCTTCTTCTTATTTTTGTCCTGTGCTACTTGGTCTTGGAAATTAACAGGAAAAGAGCCCAACTCCCTGCAGGACCAGCACCGTGGCCCATTTTGGGGAACCTATGGCAGACAGATGTCTTCCCCCTGTCTAAGCATTATCCAAAGGTAAGGGGCCTCTTGGAGGGTTGTCTGAAGTTCCTGTTGAGAGAGACCAGGAATGTTCTTAGTTTAGAGCAGAAGGGGAATTGTATAAGGCTTAGTACATCAAAATGCACTTGGGCTCAGTGCATCAAAATGCCTCTGGAAAGCAGGCCTGATTTAGAGTTTCCCCCAAACGCACACTCCCAACACTAGTGAGAAAACTCTTCTGGGCAGTAACGCAGGTCTAGCTGATGATCTGGCCCTCCCGTATCCAGGATATTTTTATGAATATATGCAATGAATATTCCAGACTGATATGTAAAGGTGGCTTTATTTCAACAGCTGAGGTATTTCAGTTTGGTGATTTGGTCAATTCAAATGCACAGGGGTCACCTCAGCACTTATTTCTGTGCCAAAACATAAACCCCAGTAAATAAGTAATGCAGAGATTAACCCTTAGTGGATACCCCTCCATTAAAGTTTTACTTGTTACAATCTTCAAGCTCTCTTAGCTCTTCCTCAGCAGCCTACCCCCTTAATCTCAGCTTCATGGCTCAGGGGGAGATCTGTGCTCCAAGAGCAGATTATTTTTGTCAAGCAAACCTCATCATCTCTGTGATTTACCCCCAGCTTATCAAGAAATATGGACCAATATTCACTGTGTGGCTGGGATCAAAGCCAGCCGTGGTGCTCTGTGGGTATGAAGTGATGAAAGATGCTCTGGTGGGTCATGCTGAAGAATTTGGTGGGCGCCCTGATATACCCTTTCAACGGAAATTGATGAAACAAGGTATTTGTGTCTGTCTTCTTGATTATGTTATTACTTAATGTATCACACATTTGAGGTGCTAAGGTCTGATAATTCCTGAAAGCTGAGGACAAGAAATGATGGCTCTGGTATGGCTCAACGGTTAGGACACTAGCCCTAGGAAATTAGTTCATTTCACAGGAGATAAAATGAGCCAATATTTTACTTATTGTACTTATTTATCAGATTTCTACACCCACACGGACTCAAGGCAGCTTACAATATATGACAAAAATTCTAGAAATGGAATAAAATATTAAAACACAAAGATACAACCAAACTCCTCACCCCAAACTATAATTTCAAATCCATTCACCTCTGTGGGTTTTTTCTGTTTTGTTCATGGCAAACAGAAATTTCCATGGTTTTTTTTCCCCTGTTTTTTCCATATGAAACAAAACCCTGATCCCTGCAGATCAGGGAGCTGGAGCAGGCAGTCAGATGCAACTCAGGCTAGTTGTACCTGGAGGTCCCCTCTAGTAGACTTCATCCATAAAAAGAAGCAACATTTCTTTTTCTCTCTCTCATCCTCCAAATATTTCTCTTCTTCCCTACCTGCTCCCACTCCCCTGCTTTACACACTGGAGGTTTGCCTCCCTCCCAAGTTGTACCTCCCTCCTATAGTGGAGGTTGTGGCTGCCCCCAAATCCAGCCATCCCTCCCCCCCAGCCAATGAAACACATTGTTATTGTTTAGACTTTAAATAATAAGCAACACAATATTCCCAACATCCACCTCTCTGACTCTGCCAAAAAGCACTCATGGGTGGCATCAAGCTTCAGCAGCACCTCACCTAGGCACCTGTCCCAGGGCAGCTTGCAGTCTTTTTAATGGGCCCTGAGCTGGCTAGGCCCAACACTTCCAGCTCGACTGGATGTGTGGTGTGCCTGGTGCTGTGTCTCATGCTCAGCCCCTGGAGTAGGATGGCAGCAAATATTAGCAACCCACGAGCAGTCTGCAGCCAGGGGCAGCTTAGGTTCTTTCCAGTCTTTTCCCCAAGTTTTTGAGAAGTGAATTTTAAAAATCTGTCTGTACTGTAAATGCTCTAAAAAAAAAAAGTTGTTTGACTGTACAGGGATGCTCTACTTTCTCAGCTATGACATAAAAGCACAGATCACCTAAAACTGGAGGCACTGAGGAAATGAAACGGCTACAAACTACAGACCCAAACAGACTTCCACACAGGTTGAGTTCCAGCTCTTTTGTCCTGGTTTGCTGGGGACCATGTTCTATCTGGTACAACACGCACAAAATGTTTGCACCCAAATGATCTTCTGCAAGTGAACATTTCTGGAAGCAGAAGTGTAGACCTCTCTCTTTCCAATAATCTGATATGCGTTTTGGTACAGTGTGAGCTTCCTGGCTGTGTCTTTACAGAGATTGACCCCAACAGCGATTTGACATGGCGAGAACTCCGCAGGTTCACACTCACTACCTTGCGGGATTTTGGGATGGGCAAGAGAACAATGTCAGAGCGAATACAGGAAGAGGCTCATTTCCTGGTGGAGGCTGTGGCAGACATGAAAGGTCATTTGAATCATATTTGTTTCAATACAGTGGTGCAAATAAGATACACAGTTGCGTCGTGGTCCAAGAATTGTTGCAAAAAGTACCTAATAAGGGTTGATGTGATAGACCTTCACAGGAACAGTGACTTTCTTCTGCTGCAATTGCAGTCTGCTATGGGCCTACTTGACAACCTGATAAAAAGACTACAGTGCTTTGAGTCAGGCTTTTAGCTACCATTCCCTACTTTAAATTGCTTACACAGACTAGATACAGTGTCACTGATTTTGGACAGAGAGAGGCTAGTTGCTGCTGGAAGGACTGGGGTTAGATACCAAAGCTCTCAGCTAAATATCAACGGACTTGGGGATCTCTTACAGAAGGATCCATGGAAAAGAAAGCTGAAGCTAACATCCACAGGAAAAAGGGAAGAAAAAACATATTGTCCAACAGTACCAATTGCTGAAGGCTTTTGCCTTCAAAACTCTGGGAGCACTCAGGAACCTGTAAGGAGCTTTTGGGAGGTGGCACAGGTAACATGCACATTCCCCATATCCAAAGAGTGGACCAACATTTTCTGTCAGATTAGTCCCTTTTGGTTGTTCCTTTAATGTGATATAAGACTGAAGTGTTTATGAGAGAACAGCACAACTTATATGCATTCTGACAACAAAAATGGTGTCCCAGCCCTTCACAGTGAGAGTGCTTAGAAATGTACACTAAGTGCAGAGGCAGGAGTTAAACACCTGCATACACCACCCATTGATCTGTACTGGGATGGCTGATGGGTTCCTTCTTTCCTCCCTGGGAGGAGAGGAGCAGGTTTGCTTTGAAGATCCAGAAATAAGAAATGGGCCTTGTGGATGCCTACAAGGGGGAGGCTGCTTAGATGCCAGCTCATGACAGCATGGGATGGTAGGCCTAAGGATCCTGGTGGTGAAAGAGAAAGGATGTCTTTGTGCCCATTATAAAGCCTGCCAGGGCAGGGAACATTTCATTATAGTAGGAAGTAAAACTCAGTTCATTCAAAGCTACTGGATGGGGGTCTTTGTTTTGGCGTTTTTTAAACTAGGAGTTACCACAGAGATGAGTTAAAAAGGGGAAGGGTATAGGAAGGCCGTATGTTTGTTTAAAAGGGACTGGGAGGAACATGGCTGTACATGAAGCAGAGATGCATGCTATGTTTGACACCATTATATTTTTCCTTGTCTCCTTGGATGCTGCAGGGGAGGCTTTTGAGCCAAAAATGACCCTCATACATGCTGTATCCAATGTGATATGTTCTGTTGTATTTGGGAGCCGTTTCAACTACAAAGACAAAGCCTTCCTGGAGCTTTTGGACACTGTAACAAATTACTTCAATTATTTTAACTCTCCCATTGCAAGGGTATGTGCCACACCACTCTCAACTCATGGGGACATCTCTGCACTCTGATGAATCTGTCTCTCTATTCAGCATGTAGGGAAGTCAGTGTAAACTTTCCTTAGCTTAGTGAAAGTCTGATTGCATATTAGGGACTGATCCAAACAGTTCTTCCATCAAGCGAGAGCCTAACAGAAATCCTGGGAAGTCTTCTTAATCCAGACAGGATTGAAGTTGGTGGGACTTGACCCGCTGCCAAGAACTGAGCATTTTCATGTTCTGTCCTGAGTTGGGATTTTCCACCCCTGAATCTGCTGTGAATCTGTTGCTGCTGTAGAATCCAGGGCTAGGATGTTTGCAAGTGGTTGTTGCAATGAAGGGCCTGCATTTTTAACGACTGTTTGAGTTTATGGATCAGGGGTGGGGGCAAGCATAATTCTGAATGAGAAGACAATAATCAAGAGCAACCTCAACATCTTGGGGGTAGAACTGGAGATATGCTCTGATTATATGGCAAATTTCAGGCTTCTTCTGTCCACAGCTGTACAGTACCTTTCCTGGCATCCTGCATTATTTGCCTGGAGTACACAATAGAGTCCTCACTGAGTGTGAGAAACTGAAGAACTTTATCCAAGAAACGGTGGAATTTCATAAGCGTACTCTGGATCCAGCCTCACCTCGTGATTACATCGACTGTTTCCTCATAAAGTCAAAGAAGGTAAAATAAGGAATAAAAATCACAGGGTCATTTCTGACTCTGATGGCAGCAGCCATGAGGAATGGGCATTTGGCTGACTTGTAAAAGTTGTGCCCACACTTAGATCCTTGTTGACTGGCATATTATAAATTATTACATGTGACTCACAGCTGGCCCCAACCTCCAGCTCAGCCTGTGGACTAACACTGGATGCTTAAGCAATATCAGGCCCCAACTAAAAAATTTTGCTCTGAGAAGGGCCAACTTTTTGGCTCTCAGGTTTGGCATAGGGGCAGCTTCATGGGGAGATCTAGGATTTTGGAAAGGTGGGTGCAGATGGTGTGGTGCATCATCACGTATAATACAACACATATTTTTCTCCAGGTAAAAAGCAATTAGAAGTTTTACTAGTATGCTGGGAGTCTAGGGCTATATTATTGCATTGAAGATTGAGGCAAAAACAAGTACAGCTTTAATGACTTAAAAACAGTCTGCAGCACTGTGAAATAGGACCTATATTACCAGGAGTAGCTAACTGACAGCAGAATTGCAGAAGAAAGGGTAGTTTAACTAGTGGAACATCAAGACCATTAAAAAGGAGAGAGGTTCATTAACATCTGTGGAATGAAGAGTTTAGAAGGAATCAGGTAGATTATAATGAGCCATGAAGACAAGTGACTCCCTCACTGGTGCCTGAATAGAAATGCTGCTGCCACTGCTGGGCAGCTGGTTTTCAGCTCTGGATAGAGCAGGAATCAAAGCAGGGTGCAAATGTACCAGTGCACCCTGCTGGGTCCACCCTGGACAACTTGTTCTGTTTGTACAAATAGTGATGCTGCAGCTATGTCACCATAGCAACATGCTCCCTTGCTATAGCACATTGCTATGGCAACATAGCAGCTAAAAATAACCATGTGCCACCGGTGCACTGCAGTAACAACGGCGCCATAGGGGCACATGCAAATAACTTCTATCCCACAGGCTTGGGGTGAATCCAAATAGCTATTCACAGCACTTGTTGTTATCCTCAGCACAAAGTAGGTCCTGAAGAGCCAGGAGATCCTTTTATTTAATAACATCTGAGGAATCCACATATCACTGATAGCTGGATGAAACTCAGGGCATGCCAAGGCGGACACTGCAGTCAAAAGAAGCCCTATCTCTGCTGCCTGTAACTATAGGGAGAAGACAAATTAGCATTTTGGGAATGCTGTGCAGCCCGGTCATCATTTACAGGTTTCCTTTCTTTAAATTTATGTTCCGTACCTTTCGTATACTTACAGGAAAAGAGCACTCCCTGGAACATATACACTGATAAGAACTTGATCGGGTTGGTGTTCAGCCTCTTTGCTGCTGGGACAGCGACCACCAGCAGTAGCCTTCTCTTCTGCCTCTTGGTGTTGGTAAAGTTCCCACACATTCAAGGTATTAAGAACAAAGGAACTATTCTCTTTTAATAGCCCTAAGTTATGATATGGCAAGGGGAAAAAAATCAGATTTTCTCACTTTGTTGTGCTAAATGCAGCCTGCAATCACTTAAGAAGAAAGGGGTCCTAATAGACATTGCTCACACCTCTTTTAGCTATGAGATATAACCTGGAGTGTATTATATGTGAATCATTGCAGGATCAGGTCCTGTAAAGACAAACACAGTTGGATAAAGTCATAGAAGCAGATGGCATGTCCTTCACTCCATCAATACTATGTTATGGGCTGTAGGGATAAACACTGAGCCAGACCTCTGGATTCAGTGGTGTCTGCAAGGAGTTAAAGCAGACCCCTCAGTCCCTTTTAGATGTTTTGTGGTATGACAATTCACACAGTGCCAAGGGGAGATGAGTGGAGCCCCTTGCTCTGTAAAGTGTAACAACTCTCAGTCTGATTCTTTTCAGCTAAGATCCGTCAAGAGATCGATGAGACACTCAGTGCAAACCATGTCCCCAGCATGGCGGACAGGGTGAGGCTGCCCTATACCAACGCAGTAATCCATGAGGTGCAGCGCTACCAGCCTATACACAACGAAAACTTCCCCCGAGAAATGACTCAGGACACGGTGTTTTGGGGCCACACAATCCCAAAGGTGCAGTGTCTTACTGGATTCTCTGAGGGTTCAGTGGGGGGATATGGCAGGAAAGTCTTGTATGGGAGTCCTATTGATTTTGCATTATAAATACCTTGGGTAGTTCAAAGTCCCGGCAATGCTGGGTGAGTGACCTCTACAGTACACAGGGCAGCGTACACAAGATGACTAACTCTGTTGATTTTGGTACATGTTTGTGTCCCCTGGTTTGGAGTCTCTCCCTCACAGCCTCCCCTCTGTAGCTGAGATCGGCACAAGTGCCTAGCTGGACCTGCCTGGTAGGGCTGCGCGAAGCTTTGGGTGGTGATGCGATTAGGAAGAGATTCAGCCTGATTTGGTGGCCGAATCTCCAAATCCAAGTCAAATCAGGGGACCAGTTTAAAGGCTCAAATTGATTCAAAGCTCTCCAAATCTTTGGCAAGATTCAGAGAGCGTTGATGATTTGGACAGTCCGTGGAGGCTGCAGCAGGGAGCTGCAGCCACTCTGAGCTGATAAGTAATAGGGGAGGGGCAGGGTGGACTGTGGAGGGGACCATGGGGGGACCCCTGC